TAAAATAAATTTTCCTCCTAGTTTTTTTTGCTAAATATGACTTCATATTTTGTAAAAAAATAATATTTTCTTCTCTGTAGACTATAAATGGTATAAGTATAATGTGCTTAAGAAACAACCCTTTCCCATAATTCATCATTTTGTATCCCTTCTACCTTCCCATTATTGGAACTTACCTTGCAGCGGCTTCATGGGTTGCCCACAAAAAAGTGGGCAAGGTGGCTGTGATAGTTTCATACTTATGACCAGGATATCTTTTTTCAGCTAGATGGGTAGATGGATACCAGAGGCTATACTGCATATCTTGAAGTACTCAAATCAAAAACCAATCTTTCCTGGAATGTTCTGTCCAAATATGTTAGTTACATTTAGGAATAATATACAAACTGTATTACCCAGAGTTTTTGTGGAACAGATGCAATCACTACTCTTTTACCCAATTCTTCTCTAGACAGAGTACCCTGAAATACTGCTTTCTCTTCTTAATGATTTAACTCCTTAAAAAGGTGCTTTGGCCTTTATTTCACAGTTGTCTTTCTCAATATAGTGACATCTCTGGACAGAAGATGAACCTTTTCCTGATGAAGAGTCTGGATGTTCTGGAGGGCTGCTCTTTTGACACCAGCTTAGAATACAAGTGAGCTTTAAGAGTGGAAATTTAAATATTCCCCCAGATTGTGCTGAACACTCTCATTATTGCTGTGTAAAAAATTAACAGACCACTTCTTTTGTGTCTGGTCCCAAAAGACGCAAACATAAGACCTAAGACCTGGTTTTAATAATGTACATCTGTATGCAGAACATCTCTTCTAATTCTAAAAATAAATAAATGTATAAATGTGAAAAATAAATAAGTGAATGTCGTGAGATGTTATTGTGTTTGATCCCAAAGTTTACGACAGCCTGGAACAGATTCCAGCCATTTTACATGAACAATGCTTTTACACGGAAAACTGAGAACTCAGATGCTGAGTTAGTCAATTGCAGCATCTCCACTATTCAGCACTGAATAAGAAATGCTTACGTTTGCAAAAAGGAAACTATAATTATAATAGTACAATCACTGGCTTAAATAGCATGACCTCCAGTCAAAGAGTAGGCTCAAGTCAGATCCAGGAAGACTTCAAGAAATGAAATGAAAGTGTTCTCCATGTGGCAGTTCACATGAGCCTCAGTAAGCAAATAATAAATTAAAAAAATATTTTACATGTTACTGGTTGTATCATAAAATCAAGTCACGTTGAGGGCTGGCAATCCAAACAGTCCTCAAACCATGTCATTGTGCTTATCTAATTTCGTGACTTGCCAATGACTTTTCTGAATTAACTGCATATCTTTGCAAAACAGCACAGTGAAATCTCCGTTGCTGGAAAATATTCCCCGTTGCTTTTAAAAAATTTAAGGAACACACAGAAATGACTTAGGACTGCTTATTTGAGTCCAATTTGACCGAAAGTATGCCTTATGAGGGAAACCAGTTGAGCGTGAAATTGGTAGTGTAAGCATGTGTGCATTAAGCTGTACCTTTTAGACTGCCTTGTCAATCACTTGTCTCTTTCTTCTGTCAATGTTCCCAGTACTGGATGCATCCTGGGAGTTGGTCTTGTGCTGTCGTTGTTAAGCCACAGCAGTCAAACGGAGTCCAGAGTACATGTGGCTGCAACACTGGAAAAGCTGCTCTGCAGCCTGGAAGACAGCAGCAGTCAGGGCAGGATGCTGCAGGAGGTAATGTGCAGAGGGCACCATGTTTAGTCTGTGACATGACAGTGACAAAGAACCACTGCAAAAAGTATGAACTGCTCATTCCATTATCAGCTGACTCAATTGAGTTACACGAGTAATAATGTCATGACCTACAGTAGTGTGCAGTGTGTCAGGATTAGTATTAATTTTGTGGCTTTATAACTATACACATCAGAAGTCTTGTGCCCTTATAACATACAACTTCTCAGTTTTTCTTTTTAAAAACTGATGATTTTATTCACGAGTTCACTCATGCATCCATAAATTAAACTGGAATTCTGTGGAAACACAGCTTTTTTTTTCTTAATTTTGTTCTGTACTATAGTTCACAGAACTGAGTACCAGGTACTCGAGTATTCTGTTAATAAAGGGGAAGTGCACCCCCCATTTATCAGACTGGTTATTAAATCTTGGTAACAAAATAAATTCATCGACGGTATAGAAATATTTAAAACATTTTGAATTAAGCACAAAATAGTGAACTTTGAGAAAATACTGTAAGTCGCCATGTTGTCGCAAACCGCTAAGTTCGCCACAGGCGAAGCTGAGAATTCCCACTTATTGTGAGGAGATGTGGCTCTTCCCGCTCACTAGTCACTCTTAAGCACTAATATAAGGCGATGTACAAGTGGATTAAGTACAGGTTGTGCAGCAGACATTTCACAGCAGGTTTCCAACATGATCTGCACGCATAGTTAACAAGTAAGTTCCAATTATCGTTAAAACCATCTTGAGGTCAAGAGCAATATTTCTATTGAATTAAATTTATTCCCAAACCTGCTTGTTTACTATGTAATGGGGCTGCTTCACGTCACCGGAAGTCTTGTTGCCTCATTCTGAATCACAGAACATTGTGCTGTGCAGACCTGGAAATGTAGTCTATTTTGTGATATAAATTGGAGGTTTTACATGTTACTTTCATTGCGGTTTGAAATGCACTCATCAATGCTGATTCTTTCTAACCCTGAAATATAAAAATACCTTTGGAGTTCCTCTTTAATATTAGATTTGCTGTAGGTATAACTATTGTGTATTGCTTTTTTTATTTATTTTGTTAGTGTTTTGTTGCAGTTAGTTAAAAAATACAGTACATTTATCTGCCTGACTCCAGTATGATGCAGTGGAATCCTGCAGGTATTCGATAGCTAGGGCATGCAAATGCACAGAAAATCTAAGGAAAGACAGTTCATTATGTCTGGAATACATTAAAAGAGGCAAAAACAGAATTGTTAATACAAACCGAATTGTTAATGTGAATGTTTACTGAGCTTTGAAGATTTCTTAAGTTATCAAATTTATTTTTCTTTTTTACCCCAATACACTAGTTTACATATCTTTGAATTATTTCAAGAAAATGATACATACAATATATACCATATGTTTATTCGTATTTCAAACTAATGTAATATTCCTTTGAACTCATTCTTGTGCTATTGTATACTTCAACTGGCCATTTTTTTACAAACTGTGTAGGAATAAAACCTCTTCACAAAGGTATCAATTGCATCATCTTTAGTCTGTTAAAAGTGTTTTTGTTTTGACAGCTTTCCTTTCAGTTGGCCCAGCAAATGTAAACTTTCCTGCTGAATCTTTCCACTCCCTGTCATTCTTTCTTATATCCCTAACAGTAACCTTCTCGGTCTTTGATTCTGAAGCAGTAATTTTTTTCTACATTCATTTTTTAAGCCTTTCTCATCATTTAAACGTCTCATTTTTATTGTAGCCTTGCCTTGTCTGTTATGCTGTCTAAAAACGAATTTGTTGAAAGCATTGTATGCACATATATATTAAAATATTAAGTAGTATTAAAATACTTCTAAAAATGTTCCTTGCTTGATCTCTTGCAGTTTAATGATGCAAATTAGTAGATTACAGGAGGAGAGATACATAGGATTCGTATTGTTTCTGCTGAAAACAGTCAAATACAGCACTCACATCAGGTTTAGAAGGGGCACCGTTACAATTTCCTGTCCAGAGCAAAGTGTTGCGATTAATTTTGGGCATGAATACTAATAAGCTCCCATCCAATCTCATGCTGAAGACCACTATCGAAAGACTTCTCCTTTGTATAAAATTAAAGTTAGCTCAAATTAGGATATTGTAATTTTCAGAAATAATATTGACTTTCTGATAACATAACTACTCTTTTCACTTTTTCTGTTCTTCATCGATGATAATGTAAAGGAGAAGCCTTGCTGTTATCTTTGATTCAAGCTGTTCCTTTAGGGAGACATAAGTTCTATACGTGAAAATCAGTTTGAACTTGAAAAATGAAAAAAATAATTGGGGACCCAGAAATAAAGTCGAGAGCTGCAGTTTGTTCTTAAGACGCAAACCAAAAGTGCCTTTCCTGCACTAGAAAGCTATGCCTGCACAACACTGCCATATGTCTTACATTTGTATTCCAGGGTGAGACAGAAATAACACGGATCAGTAAGACGTAATGGAGTGAAGTGAATGGTTTAAAGAGTCATCGCTCTTTTTTAATGGATAACTGGGTCATCGTAGTAAGATAATGAAAGGTGTCTTAAGTGGTAAGGACTTGATGTGGTTAGCAAAACAAAACCAAAATGAATCAAAAGAAGAATGAAGGCAGTCAATTGGAGGGAACTGAAGAATATGATCAGACCTTTACATTGAATTTGACCGAGTGGATACTTAGATCAAATTAAATCAATATGAAGTATTGTTGATATATTACAGATGTGCTGATACAATAGTATTAATATTCACAAAGTGAATATTTCCAGATTTAACATACTGTATATGCTTTCTCAAATCTTACTTTTTTGTAGCCTGTATTATTTGGGTGAGATCACATTGTCAAAGCAGAAAGGGTTATAACCTTCAGGTGACAGTAGCTCTGTCCATGCTATGTTATCAGGACACACTAATGTCCTTCTTTATCACCACCGCAGTGGTAACAAAGTACATTAGTGTATTCGGGATCCAGTACCTGGTTACCGACGGAGGAGAAAATGTTTTCCAAGGCTAATAGAACACGGCAAATTCCCCACTATATTTTAGTCTGTGACACAGACTAGGACAGGAAATTCAAGTGGACATTCTTATTAACGCCCATTTCATTGCTGTTTTTCACACTCTTGCAACAGAAGACATTGATAGAGTAAATCAGTATATGACAGTTAAGTTACATCACAGTATAGTAATGCCATCATTTTAAACCACTGTACTTAAAATGTAACAGTAATTCCTGGTGTACAAATGCGTGTAAGGAAAGTAGTAAAGAGCTTTTAGTCAAAAATGTGTCCAATGAAAACAGTTTATCTCTTAGTTTGTCTTCACTGACATACCTGAGGTTTCTTTGGTCTGATGACTCTACTTATCACAGGAAATTTTGTCCTGAAGTTCAACACTGTTTTCTGTGACCATTTGAAATATTGAAATATGTAGTAATTTATCTTTAAAATTGGGGATTTCCAAGAAAAGAGGATTGAGTTATGTGAAGGCCTAGGATACCTTGTGAAACAGAGCAGTAAAAGCATAATTGAGTCCCTTTGCGATTAACTTCCCTGTTTTTCTTTGTCTGCTGCTTTTTTCGACTGTTTTTTTTTTGGGGGGGGCAAGGGCAAGAGTACAACAATTTGTTAAATGTTTATTCTGGAATAATTTGAAGGCTTACAGAGGTATATTTGTATTCAGCTAGAATGATAAGATTTTTAAAATTTTGCCTGTAATATACACTTAGTAATTTGGCCACGCAGCCTGTTTGGTTACTAGTTGTTAATTGACCCAACAATCACCTGTGTTCATTTCTTAAAAGAAACCAGCGTATCAGCTTTGACAGCATGATTTAGTAGTTTGTCCCAGAGTTTGATGAGCTTGATTTAAAAAAGATCCTCTTGTTTTAAAAGCACTCCTCTGGTCTTCTGGTTTGACTTTGAATACCTTTGGGGATTATGAATACGTGAATTAGATCTCATCATAGTGTTCTGTATTCAAGCCTATCAGTGCAGGGCATTTCTTTAGGCTTTATTATATATCTGCTGTTCTTCTATGGAATGATTCAAGAGCAGCAGTATCTTATTAGTAACATGATGACCAAAACTGATCTAAGAATTCTAAGTGAATTCTTATTAGTGCATTGTACAATTTTGAGATAACATTCCTTGATTTAAATTCTACACCTAAAGTAATATTTTTGCCTTTTTATTGATCCTCCCATGTCGAGATGTTGAAAGTGATGTCAACATGAACACCCAAGTCTCTTTCATTGGTAGTGTCTTCAAGCTCAGTATTTTCCATCTTGCTTTAATAATTTGATTC